TAATTGGATATTTGTTACTGAGAGCAATCCACCCTCCAGAGACAAATTCCATAAACCAGGGTATCATGCAAACCCAAAATTCAAGCTTAACTTTCTTACCTTCTATTTATATTCCTTAGCACTTTGTTCTTACATAAAAAAAAACACAAGGTTAAGAACTATGTGAGGGTCTTGTCACTATTTTCATCATTTCCTGTTACATGTGAGGCTGCTGCTTCGTACTCTATTTATTATGCTCTATAAAATGGCCGTGTCCATTTTCCTCTATCTCTGTGCATCATACTCGGTAACATTAGATTGATTGCAATAATATTTTAAAACTAGATACTGCAATAAATCAATAAGTTTGTGGTCATTGCTTTAACTGTGGAGTTGCGCAGTGCCATTAGTATTTTTTAATAGAAAGTTGTTGTAAATATGTCAAAAACACATCAATTAATGGTTGGCTGTAAATTTTGTCTATGAATGCCCACCAAAAATGTCTTAGACAGGCAGCTTTTGTCTAAGACTCATCCTGTGTTTTAAGTGTGGAAGTATGCCGAGCACATAATGACTGTCTTTAAACCTACAATGCAATTTTGCAGAAATTTTAAGATAATTCCACATTGAATATGATAGAAAAATTTTAGAAGAGCCTTTTGATTTATTGTCAAATGTTAATTTAGTCATTTCTTATATTTTGCTGATATTTTCTGTTCACGTCCACAAGGGCTGTCTTTAATATTGTTCTAACATGTAAGGATTATCTACAATTTGTTCCTATGCAAATTTCCTCATTAGAAGATTATTCCACTTTGGAAGTAACAAGAGCTTCGAGGCTACTTTTGACAAATTATCAAATCTTACTTGAGCCGTCTCCTATATTTTTATTGCTCCATTTTATTTAAAGAATACAAATAGCGGCACCTGCTTTTACAACTGATGTAATTACAATAAGTGTAGTGATGCCATATCACATTAAAATATACTTGATGCGTAATATTACTGTTATGATATTTACCTTATTATCTTATTACAATAGATTATCAAAATAGGGTTTATTAACCCATTGCCACGGGTGAAAATGAAGAAAAAGTGAGGAAAATGCTGTGTCTATTTTCTATATTTTTTTGTGAAATGTTTGCCCACAGATGGCTCTGTTAGTGCCTGATTTGAAATGGCGGGAAAAAGGTATTTTTCACTAGTGCCATGAATATCGATGGTGTTATTTTTATTATAAACAGCAAAATAAAATAACATAAAATATTTTGTAAATCAAAGAAAAGGGTGAATGAGCAAGACAGGCGGTACTCATAACTGGCTCATTGGTGATTTAGTACAAGTGTAGCCATCTATGTGTGAAAACAATCAAACAAGTAATCTCACAGTGGGCATGGCTTGGCATGCCCATCGGCAATGGGTTAAGATAATAATGTGTGTTCTCATGTCAGCATTTGAGACATGCCACAGGGCAAATCAGAGACTTTTTTTTTTCCGTCAAAAGACAGATATCATTCTAAGACCTTTTGTAAATGCCCCAGGATTTTCATTAAAGGAAAAAAAAATGGAATGGTTACCTTCATGAAAACTGACAATTTCCAATCTATGACATTTCCTGCACAAATTGAAAATATAGAAGATATATAACAGAGAAGAGAGAAGATTGACTCATCCTTATCTTATTCCCTACCATGTTTACATAGCAATGATAAACACTATTCTTACCACAAATCTCATTAGGCATACCACTATCTGTCAAGTAGTTCATGTATTACTATGCACTTGTGAAAACTTATTTTGTAATTATCAATGCCTACCTTGCCTAATTTATGTACATAATGCGTTCTTTTATTATTTTTCTACTTCTTTTATGTGTTATGATACTTGTTTACAGGGGCGGATCCAGAACTATTCTGAAGGGGGGGGAGTTGATAAAGGGGGGCACTTATAAACCTTCGGTAATTGATTGATATTGTACCTTCACTATGTTACTGTAAGAAATCAGTTTAGTTTACACCATAGGTCATAGTCACTTTGAGTGGTTTAAAAATTGTTTTTGGAAAGTTTTAGCCATGCTACTTTTTATACCCTGCCACTACCTCGACAGAGAAAGATTGTCATTCTATGTATTATTATGATTTGACAGTGAGAATGATAATTGCCGATTATATGTTTTGTTTTTGGATGATCCGACATGCACGTTTCCCACTGGGATTTTTGAGAGTGCCAGGAGACTCCATTCCTTGACTAACACTGGTAAGAAATGTTTCCTTTTCAGTGTTGCGTTAATTTTAGGTCATTTATTAAGCAGTACAATATATGTATCTCAACAACAGTAATGCCTTTTAATTGTTTATGGTGTAATGCAATTACTGTAACAAGTATTTCGCACTTTTTTAGCTTTGTCTTGCCCTCATATTCATGTCTTGTTTTTTTTCCACAATGTTTTTTTTTCTTTTCTTTTTGTTACTAAGAACTATTTTTGTTGTTTCTTTTTTTATGTAATATGTTTTATGTTCAT